CGCGCGCGCGCGTCCGATTTGGTCGCCTATGGTGACCCAATGTCTGAATTTGGGATACGAATCGATTGAGACCTCTGCCGAGGTGATGTGACACCAAGGACTATTAAGTAGATGGACTACGCATCCTGGACCCCGCTGTGTAGCATTTACAACCGGGCATGTCAACGCGCTGCTGACAGGCCGGGACCCACTTCGGCTCTCTTCGGCCGGGCTCGTGGCCTGTTCGGGTCCCAGCTCGAGCCGAGCGAGCGAGGCCCCGCTGGCCCCCACCTCCAGCCCGCCCGGGCTGCACCCGGCCGCAGCCCCGCCGCAGCTCGGCCGGCTCGGGGGCCGGCAATGAATGCACCGAGCCCCCAGCGCAGCCGGGGATGAGCGCGGCGGCGTGGCGGGGCGGGGCGCGCCCGGCCTGCTGGACCTTAGTTAGCGGGAAAGGGATTAGCAGGGGGGCACTTGCTGACGGCAACAGGGGCAAACACGGACAGGTATAGGTCACCTGCTCGTTGCTGGGTGCATGAAGGAGGATGCGGGGAGGAGGGAGGGGAAGGGAAGGGTAGAGGGCAGGGCCGAGGGGAAGGAGGGGAAAGGTGGGGCTTTCGCCAGATGTGAATCGGCCGGGCCCGACCTGTGTTTTCCCGTTTCTGCATTGATGCCTAGTTTCGTTCATCCCACGGAGCACCGAGCTGTCCACTCAGTTGAGGCTGGACCACCGGACCGTGCGGATCACATGTGATTATGTTGGGCTGTCCTGTCCGTGCCATGCAGTGCTAGTGCTGAGTGTAAAGTGACCTATAAGTGAATTAGCGTTCAGTGTGGGTGTTTGTGTGGGTGTTGCGAGTCACTTCGGGAATGAAGCACTGTTATTTGGAGAGCTGCAACTCCAAGGCGACAGATGAAGTGTCACTATTTCGGTAAGTGCTACCCCTCCCCCCCTCCCTCTCTCCCTTCTATCCTAACCACATTCTTATCGTTTATCGGATCGACGAATCCATTCTTACGTATGCAACTCTGCCCCAGGTTTCCCAAGGATGAAGAGCAACTTAATGTCTGGAAGCGTGTTTGCGGGATCCCAACAAACTTTGTTCTGCCCAAGACCGCGCGGCTATGCTCCGGACATTTCACCAAAAATGAAATTATTACCATCGGTATTCAACAGCAAAAACAGGTCATTCGAGGGGCTGTTCCTAAAATTTATTCGAAAGAGGTAAGCGTGACCGAGCACAACAACGCGTTGATTAACGTAGTAACTACAAATTAAGATTTACATCTAAGAATATGTGTTTTTTCAGGCTTTACGCGTGATACCTCGCATGCCACCGCCTCTGCAGCCGCTCAGACCTTCAACTGCAAGTAACAGAAGTCAGACGCCAAGTGTACAACAGTTTGCAGCGGTTGAGAAGGAAAGTTCTCGCCCTTTTGCACTTCTTGCATTGTCCCGCCCTCTCCTCGCGGGCGTGCGTGGCTTAAGTCCTCCGCCGCTCCAGCCGTTTGTGACGCAGAGACCGGAAGGAAACGACGAAAATGCTGACCCTGCCAACAATGACCCTGCTGAGACCGAGACTACTGGAGAATCTGATCAACCTAAGCGGCCGGTCAATTTTGAACGTCTCGGTCCACTCTCCAAAGAGAAGGTTAGTACGTTTTTTTATTTTTATGGTCCCACTCGTGTGCCTTGTGCCTTTAGTTTAATCCCCTGTCAAAAATAACCCGTTCAAAACCGCGCCTTGTCCGTGCAGACTCGAGCAAATCTGCGCCTTCCGCATCCGTTCTGCGTGCGGACCCGGGCGAATTTGTGCCCTTCAGAGGCGGGCGCCGGGCGCCGCGCCGCCTCGCGCATAGATCACAAGCCGTGCGCCCCCGTGGGCCGCAGGGGGGGGAGGGGGGGGG